CACTGAGAAAACTGAAGATCGAGGACTGTGCCAGGTCTTCATCTCCACCAGATGGCCTTGGCCGCATCACACTTTGATGCAGTTGAGGATTTGATGCACGCAGGGGATTGAGTTGTGGAGTTGTGGAGTTGCAGCGTCCCAGAGACTAATATCGATGGAGGGAAGATCAAATAGATCGATTAATTGGTATAAACAAACTCCCCCTCTCTTTCCCTCTCTCCCCCTCCTAACTTTTGACAAGTTTATGGATTGAACGTCGAAGTTTTGAAATCATGTTTCTTTTACTGTTTTCATGTCCTAGTAGTGTCAACTGTCTCTCGTCACGTTCAAATCAGCATGAAAGATCATTTCCACGAGAGATCGCCGGATATTTCAAGTCCGAAGGTTCTTAAATGGAGCACATAATGCTTTGCATCACCAGTCGTGGAAGATAAGACTCATGCTCAAGAAATTTATGTTTGGTATCACATAGGTGAATTTAAGTCAACGCCAATGTCCACGAACTTTAGTAACTCCATGGTTGTTTGTCACTTTTTCCCTCTTACTGTTCTGGTTCCGTTTCTTCGGTGGGGTCGTGGACTGGAGATAGACGAATCTATACTTGTTTCAGCTTTATGGCTCTCTTCTGAGTTTTTTCTTTGTGCGATGCACTTCAAAGTATACATTTTCAAAGTCAAATGATTGCTTTTGCTGGTAATTTTCGGTTTGTTTCTTGCATAAAGTAAGTAATGTACTCGTCGAAGGCTTCGAGAAAGGATGCGATGCAATGGAATAGGCAAAGTGAATCTGATTATTGTGCACTGCGCTGCACTTTATCTTGAGCTTGACAAATTAAGTGCTTGTTTCTATTACATGCTTGTTACAGACTTATTTCCATTCGTGTTAGAATGAGTTTCCAGGAAAAATTACTTGATTTCTCCTGCTTAACCTTGTATAGACATCAGCCACAGGTTTGACAGATAATTATCTATGAAGTCAACAATCGTAGAAACCACATACACACATCATCACATGCCCACTTGATTCAAAGTCAAAGCTTGTACGAAACCGGTAAATCTTCTGTACATAATCCATCCAAGCCCAGATGCTTGGTGAGCCAAACTTCCATTGATAGCAATCATGTGCGCAGCACGTGACACTAATCACAAAGCCTTATCTAATTACTCCACCTGGATCTCCCCGGTTATTGGTAGACTATCGGTATGGCTCCCTTTGTAGCATTGTATGGCAAAGCTCTTGGAACCCCGATATGTTGGAATGAAGTGGGTGAAAGAGGGCTTAAAATTGCACGGATCACTTCAGATATAGCTCCAGTAATTTGTGATGGGCTTAAAATTGCACGAAGTCATTAGAAAAGTAACGGATAAGCACCGAAGACCATCGAGTTTTGGAAGCACCTCTTGACCAGAAAGTCGCTAATACGAATGCTGACTAATATTCTTTTTTTCTCTGTTCTGTCGGAGTATTTAGGAACCAAACCACCTACCATTGCCAGCAAAGAATGGTGTGAAGGAACAGAAACAGAATTTCAGGCATGGCCTCAGACAGTAGGCCTGCCGGTCATAATGAATCCCATCAGTGGTCAAAACTTCATTGTAAAATCCCGCCCTGAATCTTGATAGTCAACTGTCATGAACTCTGCCTTGTATCTAATGCCTTGCCAACTGGTGTGCCCAGTAGCGACCGGCTGCCAATGAAAGCCATTTCCTGGCTTAAATATTAGGTTCAACTTTAATACTCCTCAAGTTTGCCCTGTCCTATTGTCTAATAACTCTCTATAAGCTGTGAAGTACTAGCATCTGTTCGATTTTAGTGGATGGTGTTGGTGTCCGATGCTCAGTATCTTTCAGCACCAATGGGGTTGATGAAAACTACCATCACTCAGTTTTTTCTGTGGACAAAGGTAAAGGCCAAACATTATATGCTGGCACTCCCACACCTCTTTTTAACACCAGAAATCCTTCGTGTGCATTGAGTATTGTGGAGTGTTCTGTAATGAAATGTTCTGTTGCGTTGTCCATTTCAAGCAAATATGTAGTTGCTACCTTGCTTCGAACTTACTTTATTAAGCATCAATATTTGGGACTGGAGACTTAATTCAAATCAGGGTCATCATGAAGCAATTGTAAGTGATGTTTACTTTTTACTTCCCTTTTTATGTAGTAGTGTATGCAATTCGACTCTTATTTAATATTGAACAGCAGCTATACAAATATCGACACCTAGAATCATTTAGAATTGTCCCATTATTTTCTAATATTCAGAAAGTATTTTTCCAATTTTCAAAATTGTGGAGGGAATACAACACATACTTCTAAACCAATCATTCTCATTCTTGTAAAAGGGCGAAATAGCGGGCATCTAATATGGGGATCAAGCAATGTAAAGGAGCTAATTATTCTCTGTGCACATATTTATCTTATAAGAAGCAGAGAACAAAGAAAGGAATGTAGTAAAGATTACAGAGAAAGGTAGCACAATTCAGGCCGCTTTTCCTTTATCTTTTATCAGACAGGGTATTCCAAATCTAATTGGAACAGCATCGAATGGCTTGCAGATTTCCACCAAGAATTGAGTGAACTATGTGACAGTTTAGAATAACGTTGGACATACTACATCCCACCATGCGTATTCCTATGTCTCTGCCTATATAACCGGGCCAAAATCATACTTCTTTGCTATCCTTCTTCTCATAACTAGTTTAGTTCCTGCACAGCGGTTACGCTAAACCTCCTCATAAATCATTAACACCAATCACAACCATGTCTGAGGTCGTCTCTAGCATCCTCGGACCTCTTGTGGAGAAACTAGATTCATCGGCTGTTGAAAAATTTCAACTGGAAGGGGCATCAAGGATGATCGAGAGAAGCTCAAGAACATGCTAGAGATGATCAATAAGGTGCTCGCCGATGCTGAGCAGAAGCAAACAAAAGACGAAGCTGTTGCAGAAGCCAAGCGATCGAACAATAAAATAGATAGAACAAAAAAATCAATCGGACACCATATTTACGTGGTTCGATCGTAGTAACCTACGTCCACGAGGAGAGCAGCACGAATTCCATTATAGATCTAGTGATACAACGGAGATTACAACCACATTCGAGTCACTCAAACACTCTAAGTGTTTCCCAAGCCCCAATTACACTCAATAACTCATGCAGTGTTTAACCCCACAATTCCTCACGAAATAATCTCTCAATCTCACGAAGGAATTATACACAAATCGCTACGAATACTTGAACTCTTAATGTAATTTCACGAAGAAAACCCATGGAGATAATCCACAAGCACTCGACAAAACGGCGCCTCAATATTTCTCCCTCTCTGTCAACAGTCGCTGAACAATAAGCACTCACGAATGCAGCGCTTCAAGAATAGCCCAAAGGTCTGTACCAATCTTGCGACTATCTTGACCAAAGGAGAAAACATATAATATATATACCCATGGCAGCCAACTTCAACACAGAATAGGAAAACCCACGTGACATGCTCAGCCCAACTTTCCTTTTCTGTTTTCTTTTCTTTGGCCGACTCCAAAGGATAATATCTATCCTTGGTTTCAAAACAGAGTTTACTTCTTTTCTTTTCCTTGAGCCAAACAACAAATCCAGAATTTCCTTTTTAATTATTCTTTCACGGTCAAAGTCCATCATCACGTTGGACTCCAATTTGTAGAGGGAAATCACGTGATTTGCTTTGCTCGATTTAGGACGTCCACAAAATATTCAATTTGAAATATTTAGATTTTCGCTTCGGCCTCAAACACAAAACATATTTTTAACCGAAGTTGTGAGACTTGGGTTGTCAAAGCTTAAAGACTTCTGCTATGATGCCGAGGACGTGCTAGACGAATTCGAAGCCAGGGCTTTGTGGAGATGGGCGAGGTCGACCGAGTGCTTTACCCTTAAAAGAAAGGTACACTACTTGTCCTCGTGGCTATCCAACTCCATTTTCCAGTTTAGTGGCTATCCAACTCCATTTTCCAGTTTAAGATGGCGCATAAAATGAAAGAACTGAGAAAGAGACTTAATGGGATCAATGAAGAGAAAATTCGGTTTAATTTTTTGAGTGATGTTGATAACAAGACTATAGTTCCGCGGAGGAAAACTCGTTATTTTGTACGCCCTTCAAATGTGATTGGAAGGAACGAAGAAAAGGAAAGAATAATTGAGCTCTTGAGAAGATCAGATAATGGTGGAGCTGGAACGATAGCAGTCATTCCGATTCTTGGAAAAGCGGATACTGGAAAGACGACTCTTGCTAAATTGGTATACAAAAATGATAGGGTAAACCCGGACACCTCGGTTACCAAAAAAAAATGATAGGGTAAACGAACATTTTGATCACAAAGTTTGGTTATCCATGCCAGTAGAATTCAAAGTTGAGGAGATACAAAGAGACATCGTCAAGTCTCTTGGTCATAGAGAAAAATATGATAGAGTTGAAATGCTGCAAAATTGCGGAAGAAGTATTGTGGAGAAACAAAGATGTTTGTTCGTAATGGACGATATGTGGGAAGTGACACGGAAGGATTGGGTGAGACTGAGAGATTTGTTAGGAGGCGTTTCCGAAGGGAGTAAAGTCATTGTGATTTCACGGAACAAATCGACCGCCTCAATCATGGGCACTGTCCCCCGCTCAATTTGGCTAACCTTTCGCTAGAGGATTCTTTCGCTTTGTTCGTGAAGTGAGCGTGTGATCAAGGGCAAGAGAAGAATCACCCGGACCTTATGGTAATCGGCAAGGAAATCATGAGCAAGTGCGGGGGAAATCCTCTAGCGGTTAAGATTTTGGGAAGCTTGTTGTATTCCAAAAAAAACAACCGGAGCGACAGGAAATATGTAAGAGATAGTGAGATGTGGCAATTACAAACTCATATTTTACCTTCACTAAGGATAAGCTACGATTTAATGCCGCCTTACTTGAAACAATGTTTTGCTTATTGCTCGATATTCCCGAAGAAACGCAGGTTAGTCAACTTTGATTTGATCCAACTGTGGATGTCGAACGGGCTCATCCAATCCAGCGGAAATAATCAGGAGCTGGAAGAGATTGGATGGCAATACTTGGAGGAGCTGTTGTCGAGATCCTTCTTCGATGCTGTCCAGGAATACTATCCATTCTTGATCTTCGGAATGCACGACCTCATTCACGAACTTGCCATTTCGGTGGCACAAATGGAATCGTCAAACATGAAAGTGTTCGCGCAGGATATTTGCCCGATGACTTGGCATATATCATTTCCCAACCCATCTCGTGTACCAAAAGATGCACTATGCAGCTGCTTGGGCAAACTCAGCCGCATTCGTACCGTCATGTTTGAGGAGGGTTCCTCTAGGGAGTTCTTTCTGGAGATGTGCATTTCTCGATTCAAGCACTTGCGAGTGATAGATCTATATGGCTCTAGCTTTGACATACTGCCTAGTTCCATTGGCGGTCTAAATCATTTGAGGTTTCTTCATCTATCCGACAACCGTAATATCAAGAAACTCCCCAAATCGGTCTGCAAGCTTCGCAATCTGCAGTGCTTAGGTCTTGGCGGGTGCAGGGGACTCGAGGAATTGCCTGCAGACATCAAGAATATGATCAGCCTCCGCGTTTTGTTCATAACCACCAGACAGTAGCATTTCCCGGAGAGGGGAATAGGATGCTTGACATCTCTGCGGTGGCTAAGCATTGGAGGGTGTGAGAATTTGGAGGCCTTGTTCGATGATATCCAATCGCTCACGTCGCTCCATAAGTTGCTCATTGGAGGTTGTCCAAAGTTGGCCTCCTTACCACAAGGCATCAAGAATATGAAGGCATTGGAGGATCTCTGGATTAGCGGCGGCTGCCGAAACTTGAGGTTGCTAGAAGGCGAAAGTAATGAACCACGCTTCGTGTTGAGGCTTCAATCCTTCATATTCGGGGGATCATCAGAAATTGTTTCTTTGGCCGGGTGGCTCGAAGGTTCTGCAAGTACACTGCAGAGGATAATGACTGGGGATTGTCGCAACTTGAGGGTATTGCCCGAGTGGCTGCAAAATTGTTCTTCTCTGAGAACATTGGGGATTGAAGACTGTCCTAGATTGTCCTCTTTACCAGATGGCATTCGCTGCATTGCCACATTGACATATCTGCAAATAATCAATTGCGAGGAAATTGAGGAGGAGATCCGATGTTGAAGTAGAATATAATTGCGAATAAATATCTCAATATGTAAAATGTTTTATTATAAGAAGAGTGTAGCAATGTGTGGCTAACGGATTGGCCACTCTAGAAATATCTGTGTGCTTATGTATGAGTAAGGAGTTCTCTCGACTGATATTGTAGAGAGAGTCTCTAATAAAAAGGTGTATGTGTTTTCTTTAAGTGAGTTGGGCGGCGCTATTTCCACCTCGTTTCTCATTTCTAATTTCTAATTAATGTGCGATGGTATTTTTTTTTAAAACGAGAGTTGGTGGTTGGGAATTCGCAATATTTCCATAATCTAACTTCAAGATAATAGGGAATTTACACATTACATCTGTTGATGTAATTTACTTGGTAAAGAAAATACAATTCGAGTAACTCAAGTAATTATGGTTATATACACTATGATACAATCCACGAATGCCCCAAATTACAGCGACTATAACGTGTTTTGTGACCAGAGTGAAACGCTAGTAATGTATACACAAAATTCAACAAATGTATGTTGCGATTTTTTTTTACTCGATTAGGATGATATTTGGAATTATTTTCCGCTATCTGAAAATCATCATTTTATGATGTTTGCGAGCAAAGAATGCATGGTCATTGGTTCGTTTAATAGTTTATGCTGTTGTAAGCTCTGATATTTTTTTCACACAAATAAATACTATAACATGAGGATAAAAAAAAATATGTACCTTCCCGAAAAGAAAGATCTCCATTTACATTTCTAACCAAAAAAAAAAAAAGACATGTCTTTTAGTTAGGATTTGAGTGGAAATAAATGATAATTGAGTTATGTAATTTGAAATCTTAATGATACTGTTGTATTTTTTTCTTTTTCAATTGATTGTTTGCCTGACCAACGATCTCTTGCTTTGGGGAGCAATGCACAAAGAGGTAAAGGAAATTTCTTGATAAGTAAGAGACTCTTTGGCAAGTTGCCAAATAGTAAAAATTTCTATTTCTTTTGTTTCCAGAATCAGTTTAGGAGCAGAAATCCGTTTGTTAAATTTATTGTGCCCGAGCACTTTTTTGCAAAAAATTGCTCCCATAATCAGTTTTGGAACAAAATCAATAAGCAAAAAAAAGAAACTTCTTGATTCTAGAACAATTTTTTATATTTCTGATTTTTCTTGATTTTCTTCTTTTTTTTTGGTTTGTTGTTGTTCTTCGGCATGCCACCCGCCGGCCACAGACCAAGGCCGGCGAGGGCGGCTCGTGGCTGCAACGGCGAGGCAGACCTTACCGTCGCCACTCAGGTCGGTCGCCTGGGTGGCGACGGTGGCGACGAGGGCCGCGACGCCGTCGTGGGCCCTAGCCTGTGGCCGGTCGCCAACGCCGGCGACCGTCCATAGGCCAAGGAAGGGAAGAGAAGGGAAAGGAAAAAAAAAGAAAAAAATATTAAAAATTCAAAATATTATTAATAAAATGAAATTTTGTGTAGTTACCAAACGCATTTCTGCTTTTTTTCTATTATAAGAATAGAAATTTTGTGCAGTTACCAAATACATTCAAATGCTTAGAAATTATTTCCGGGCATAGAATAAAAAAGAATCATTTCTAAGCAGAATCTGTTCTCGGGCACAAAATGATTGCCATGCACAGCCTTAAAATTTTTTATATTTAAAGAATTACATCTCTCTTGACAACTCAAAGGAGCTGCCCTATGTTAGTACACATTTCACACTTGATTTCACTCCTATTTATTGTTTTCGTTAACTTATTTTATTAATTAATTATCATATGCTTGATGTTTTTTTTTCCCACCTTATAAGTTCTTTTCGATTTACTATAAAATCACAAGTCATTTTGTTTATGTTCTCATCACTTTAATGCGAGTATTTGCATTCAATAATGACGTCGCTTTAATTTAAAGTATTCCTTGCACAATTACATTCTATAGGATTAATATCACGAAAAACTCCAAACTGGTACATCTGTGATAATTTTACCATGAATTAATTTTTTGACCGCCAAAGATCTCAAACCGGTACACCCGTGACAAATTTACCACAAACTATTTTTTCTACCGCAAAAAATCCCAAACAGGTACACCTATGACAATTTTATCCCGAACTATTTTTTTGACCACGAAAAACCCCACACTTGTACACCTGTGACAATTTTATCCCGAACTAATTTTTTAACTACCAAAAATCCAAAACTGGTACACCTGTGACAAATTTATCTTTTATTAGTTTCCGTTAAATTTTACTGTTAAATTGCTAAGTTTGATGACACGTGATAGTTGACGGGTGTACCAGTTTGAGATTTTAGCCCTCTGTATGTCACAAATTTACCAATTTGTGATTTTTCGTGATATTAATTCAATTTAACGGACACTAACGAAGGGTAAATTTGTTACAAATGTACCAGTTTAAGGTTTTTAGTAGTCAAAAAATTAATTTGGGGTAAAACTGTCACAGGTGTACCAATTTGGGATTCGTGGTGTTCAAAAAAATAGTTCAGGGTAAAATTATCACAAGTGTACCAGCGTAAGGTTTTTGGTGGTCCAAAAAACAGTTCGGGTAAATTTATTAGAGGTGTATTAGTTTGGGATTTTTTATAGTTAAAAAATTAGAAAATTACATGCTTAAAAAAAGGGCAGGAAAAAGGTAGGCCTGCGCACCGAAAAGAAAGCGCTTCATCAGAAAACATCAGGGCCATCCAGACGTAGCAGCAGCTGCAACATAGGGCGCCATGGCCGGTGGAGGAGGAGGAAGGAAGACCAGCGTTGGGGGGCTAGGGGGGCGGGCCCGACCGCTATGATTGCGCCATTTGGCAGGTGCCTTTGTGGCAGCTGCGTGATCTCAAAGCCCCTCCCCTTCGCCCGAAAAAGGCGTACGGTGCACCTACGCTCCGCGGAACAGCTGTTAAATTAGCCTACGGCGAGAGCACCGCGGCAGCAGTAGATTGCTGCTCTCGTCCGTACACCTCAGCGCTCTAGGGTGCACATGGAATGCATTCCGGAATATTCTGTTCCGGAACAGAATGACGTTTGTTAAAAAATTTCCGGAATGCATTCTGGAGCGATTTTTGCATTCTGGAATAAAAATACGTTTGTTAAAAATACTTGATTCCAGAATGCATTCTTGATTCCAAAATGCATTTTTTTATTCCAGAATGAGTTTTTGGCAAGAAAAAGAGAAGCTACTTTTTGTAGATTCTTGATTCTGGAATGCATTCTCCCTATTTTCTCACAATTTTTTTTTTCAGAAAATGCATAAAAATTGAAAAATTCTAGAAAAATTCATAAAAATTTCTAGAAAATAAAAAAAGTTAGATTTCGGGAAAATATGAAATTTGGTGAATTTTGTTTTTAAAAAATAAAAAAATCAAAAATTTCAAAACTTCACAGAATAGCTTAAAACACATGTGGCCACCCACTTTGAGTGAAATTTAAATTTTTTGAGGTGCCCAAAAAATATGAAAAATTTCAAAACTTCACAAAATGGCTTAAAATACCTGTGGCTACCTACTTTGAGTGAAATTTAAATTTTTTGAGGTGCCAAAAAAAAAGAAAAATAATAAAAAATTTCAAAACTTTACAAAATGGCTTAAAATACCTGTGGCCACCCACTTTGAGTGAAATTTAAATCTTTTGAGGTGCCCAAAAAAATAAAAAAATAAAAAATTTCAAAACTTCATAAAATGGCTTAGAATACCTGTAGCCACCCACTTTGAGTAAAATTTAAATTTTTTGAGGTACCCAAAAAAATAAAAAAATAAAAAAATTCAAAACTTCACAAAATGGCTTAGAATACCTGTGGGCCACCCACTTTGAGTGAAATTTAAATTTTTTTAGGTGCCCAAAAAAAATTATAAAAATAAAAAATTTCAAAACTTTACAGAATGGCTTATAATACCTATGGCCACCCACTTTGAGTAAAATTTAAATTTTTTTAGGTGCAAAAAAAAAATCAACAAATCAAAACATATTTCTGTTCCAGAAATCAATTTCTGGAGCAGAATTAGTCATGTTTTACCAAACATATTTCTCCTCCAGAAATCAATTTCTGGCAAGAATTCCAGAAATCAATTTCTGACAAGAATTTGATTTCTGGAGCAGAATGATTACCATTCGCACCCGTAGCCTTCCAGTTCCAACCTGGCGCGCGCTATCCAAAAGCCTTTTTATTTTCCGGATAATTCCAAACCATGCTCCCCCAAAAAATAGTTTTGTCGGAGCATTCACCTTGTGGAAACTCCACGTACGGCTCGTCCGCTGTCTTTCTTACTTTGTTTTTTTTTTTGTTGAAATCTACGGTCTTTCTACGTTCTCGATTGGATTGATATCACGAAAAATCATAAATTAATATATTTATAATTAATTTATTATAAATTAATTTTTTGATCACAAAAAACCTTAAAACTGGTACACCTGTGATAATTTTACTCCGAACTAATTTTTTAACTACCAAAACTCCGAACTGATACACATGTAACACATTTACCCTTTGTTAGTGTTCGTTAAATTTTACTATCAAATTGTTGAATTTGATGACACGTGGTAGTTAACAGATGTACCGGTTTGAGGTTTTACAGTCACAAATTTACGAATTTGAGGTTTTTCGTGATATTAATCCAATTTAACGGAGGGTAAATTGTCACAAGTGTACAAGTTTGGGATTTTTGGTGGTTAAAAACTTAGTTTTGGGTAAATTTGTCACAAGTGTACAAGTTTGGGCTTTTTGGTGGTTAAAAAATTAGTTTGGGGTAAATTTTTCACAAGCGTACCAGTTTGGGGTTTTTTGTGGTTAAAAAATTAGTAATGGGTAAAATTGTCACAGGTGTACTAGTTTGGATTTTTTCGTAATCAAAAAATTAGCTTGTGGTAAATTTGTCACAGATATACCAGTTTAAAGTTTTTTGTGGTAAAAAAATTAGTTCGAGATAAAATTATCATAGATGTATCAATTTGGGATTTTTTGTGATATTAACCCTTAGAAGTATGTGCAGTTTTTCATCCACAATTTTGAAAATTGGAAAA